GGAACATAGAAACTTATTCTTGGTAGATACTGAACACACTCCTCAGTGCCATGTTTTGCCTGTCAAGGAAGTTCCTCCAGATGTCTGACCTCGAACCGTTCTGCCGCGTTTAAGGGCTGCTCTCTCCTGCTGGAGCGTGAATCAGAGCCAAGCCGACTGTGAGTCCCTGTTTCCTGAGCACTCACAGAGGACTGGGCACAGGCAGGAAATGAAGTGTGCGGCGTGAGCAGGCCCTGTGAGAAAAGAGATCAGAGGGTAGGAATCAGCCCTCTTCTGCCCTCAGGTCAGGTCCCTCAAAGGTGAGGGCCCGGGCCTCTGGTTTTCTGCCTCTCCCCTACCCCTTCCCCCCAGTAGAGGGGTGCCCAGAGACAGCCTCTCGTTCTGTGATGCTGTGCTGGGCAGCTTCTTTGTCCCCGGGTTCCGTGACGTGGCAGGAAATGCTTGCAGCCCCTGGTTCCCCCAAGGAATGCCACACTGAGTACAGTGGGCCCCTCAGGCCTATTTCCGATCTGGTGTGGTCATTAGGGCCCAGATGTCCCGGGTCGACCTCGGCTTCAGCTTCTGGAGCAGCACAAGCCAGGAGGGACATTCTGTCCCTCAGGAGCAGAGACCAGGCCCGCACCCTCCTCGACAGGGCCCCCGAGGCCGCCCGGCTCTGTTGCTAGGCCGCGGCTGGAGGCAGGGCGCCTGGGTTCCCCTCAGGTCCCTCTACCTGACATGGTCTCCGCTGCCGCTGTCCCCCCACAGCTCCTGTCCCCCCTACCCTACCCCCTGCGCCACGGGCTGAATTATTAATAAAAATGCCGAGGAAGCTGTTTGTACAGCTCCCATGACAGAACAAACACACCTCTCTCCTTACCACCAGCCGTGTGGCGAGAGGCTCGGGCTGGGCATTTGCCTGATTCAGGACGGACAGGCTGAGACCAGAGCCAGAGGGCAACTTTGAAGGGCAGCAAGCAGAGCCCGCTGATGTGAGAGCAGCAGCGAGGACGAGCTCTTTGGCCCTGTCCCTGCTGCATCTCCCCCCACCTCCTCCGCCGAGGGCAAGAGTCTGGAGAAGGCAGAAGCGTGAAATGCACAGACATCACCTTCCCCAGGAAAGACCTGGCCACAGAGTCCTAGAAGGCAGCCCTGGCCATTTCTACGGCCACCTCGTCCCAATGGAGACTGAATCGATGCTTGCTGAGCAGTCGCCTCTTGTCCCCAGACGCGGGGAACCACGCAATCTCGGACGCTTAGCCAAGGCTGCGTCCCACGTGTCATGCTTCTGCCGGCCTCTGCTATGGAGGCATCCACCATCCAGGGAAGCATCCCAGACTTCAACTCTGGACTTGCCTCTGCCACCACCTGGGTGTTTGGCTTTGGCCAGTGACTCGACCACTCTGGTCCTCAATTTTCTCATCCATAAAACAGGGCTATAAATGCACCACATGGGTATGGAGAATATACTGGGGAGATAGGAAGGCAAGGGGCTGGGTGTTTTTCTTGGCTCCCTTGCAGCAAGGCACCTGGCACCTCCCAGGCACCGAGGACTCTGCCCTAAGCTGACCTTCCATAGCCCTGAGTACCCATTCCATATCCTAGGGTCATGTTGCCAGAAACCCCTTCTGTGCTCCCAACCCCACCCACGTCCTTTCTCCCAGAAACCTCCTCCCCATCTGGATTCTGTCCCTAAGTCTCTCTCTCTCTCTCTCTCTCCATTGTCACCCTGCCACCCCCCACCCCCACCCCCACCCCCATGTGCTTGGCTCAGCCCCTCAAACTCCAAAAGATGAAAGCTGGTGCCCCTTCTCCTTGACAGCTGCTGCGTGGGATAGTCCCAGGCTCAGTCAGAATCTTGGCCTTAGGCCTCTGTTTTGAGATACCCCCCACCTCTCTTGGTCTGGGGCAACACTGGGCCCTTGATCTAGACTGAGAGCCATGAGAGCCAGTGAGATGCCCTTATCAGGATGCATTGTAGAAGCACCTTGGCTTGCCAATTTCAAGCTGAGTGCCCTGGGGTAAGCCACTCAATCCTTCTGAGCCCCAGTTTACCGGTCTGTACTACAAGCAGTTTGGTTTTTCGTCTTGATTTCACCTTGGACTCCTTTGGGAATCTCCTAAACTCCGGGGACCTCTCCTCCCTAGACAAATGCATATTCAAATATAGACACATTTTGCCCCCGTAATTGGGCGGGCGGGGGTCCTACAGGTTTCAGATTCAAATCTCTGGTTCAGAGGCCTACAAGGTTGCTTCCAATTCCAACAGTGTGCCCAGGCGTCTGCCCTGCTCCTCTGCCCACAGTGATTCTTGGGTCACGGTGAGGGTGGGCTGGTGGTCTACCCCCACCATTTCTCCCTCCTGTCTCATTGGCCCCCTCCCCCAGCACTTGCTGTGGCTGGAACCAGCTTGCCAGCGGCTCAGACCGGCCTTTCAGTACCTCTTGGAGGCTACCGAACAGGCTTCACCTACCTGCCTTTCAAGGTATTTAAAGGTTCTTTGACCAAATGCTTTTTGATCCTCCGCTGATGGGAACCAAGCAAGCGGAGGCTCTCACCAATGGCCCTCCTCCCTCCATATATTAGTGACTAAGAGCTCTTTTGATATTGCAGAAGCCTTCTGTGGTTTGTTCAAAGCCGTGGGCCTTGTGGCCACCTCCCCCTGAGACCCAAGCCGGTCAGCTCCAGCCGCCACCGCCCACCCCCAGCAGTGGCCTAGTTAATAGGGGCCTCCCAGCGCTAGACGGCTCCCGCCTGTAACTGTGAGACCCCAGACCCGAGCCCAGCTGGTAGAGGGGCCGTTTTAGTAAAGCCCCGCTCCTCCCAGGGGGCCCTCGCCCGGTTCAGGTAAGATAGGATCAGAGTCAGGGGTCTCCCAGACCCCGGGGAAACACGCCTCTTCTTCCCGCCCAACTTGGGCTGCACAGAAGGGCATGCGACCCACGGGATTGATTAACCTGTCTCCAGGGTCCAGTAAATGTGATCCCTTAGCCTGAAGCTGAGAAGGGGAAACTGAGGCTTTGAGAAGTCCCAGGTCCAGGCCTATAAGCTGGCACCCACCGACCCGAGAGCTTCGCCGGCTCTGCAAGCCCCCTTTCACAGCCAGCCTCACTCTGTCCCCCGCGCTCCCGCTCCTGCAGGGCCGAGCAGAAGGCCCTGACGTGGGCCCCAGCTGCAGCCTCCGTGCGGGGCGGGGACGAGGCATTGGGTTCAGGGCCGCCACTGCCCCACGACGGGCGCCCCCAGCGCGGCGGCGGCGGTTCTCGCCAACTTGGACGGACCCACCCATAGCGCCTGGTGTCTCCCGCGGGGCGGGGGCCGGGGCGGAGATGCGCGTGCGCGGAGGGGGCGCCGCGGAGCCCGCGTGAGCTGGTGAATTACCGAGTGCGGGAGAGGACGCGTCCGCCCCCGCCCCAGTGGAGGAGGCGCCGGTGCTCCCAGGTCGGGGGGCCATGACACGCCCCGAAGGAGCCCCAACACTGGACTGAGGCCCCAACCCGGCGCCCCAGCTGGAGTTGAAGACTGCAGTGGAGGTGGGGTCCTGTTTCTCAGCACCCAGAGAGCTGTGACCACCCCTGTTCCAGGATGCCTGGCTCTGCACTTGGGAGGATAACAGGAGAGAGCTGGGCGAGTTCAGGTCCCCTGGCTCCCTCCCTCTTAAAGGCTCCTTGGGCTGCTGGGCTTTTGGGGCCGGCCAGACCAAGCACCAAAATCCAATCCTGGCCTTGTCATCATTATAATAGCGGCAGCCACCATTTATTGAACTCTGAGGGCTTGACAGGCCCAAGTGCCAAGTGCATGATAAGCATTACCCCACTTGGTAGTCACAGCAATCCCATGACGAAGTCTGGTTGTGATCCCCTCCCAAAGGTGAAGAGGCTGAGAATCAGAGGGGGTATGGCCTGCCTGAGGTCACAAAACAGAGGGGTGGGGGCAGCTGGGAGTCCCACGCAGCTCTGACCAGTTCTAGAGTCTAAGCCTTCCACCACTAGGCTCACTTTCTTTCACCTCGGAGCTTTCTGGAGGCTGGGCAGGCCCCAGCTTCTGCCCTTCAGCCCAGTTTGGCCCAGCTCATGGGAGATAAGGGCGGGAGCAGAGGTGGGGCAGCACTGGAAAGGAGTGGGACCACCCCCCAATTCTCTGGCTGCTCCATTTCCTCCTGGATCCTCTCTCTTAGCAACCCCCCCCCCCGCCCAACTGTGCACGTCCCCCAAGGCTTTGTCCTCAGCTGTCATCTTCTTTCTCACCCCACACTCTCTCCTGTGTGAGCTCATCCACTCGAATCGCTGCAGCCTAACTCCCGGCTCTATGTCTGGGGCCCTGACCTCCCTCCCAGGCTGGCATCTGCCTTCCTGATGCATCCCCTCCCCTCCCCCCACGCCTTGCCCCATGGAGTAAATTCATTACCTGCCTTAGAGCAGCTCCTCCCTGGGACCACTCAATTCCAACCCAGTGACCTCCCTCCCTCATCATGCTGCTTGCTCCTGAGCTCTCCGCAGCCCAGCCCTCCCTCCCCCCTAAGGCCTTTGATGGCTCCCCTCAGCCTGTGGAGTCTCGTACAGGAAACTTTGCCTGAAGCAGAGTCCTCCCCAAAATGAGGACCCTGCCCTCCTTGACCTGCCCTGCCTCCTCCTGATGCCCTGCTTCAATTAAAAACCATTCCTGGGGTGCCTGGGTGGCGCAGTCGGTTAAGCGTCCGACTTCAGCCAGGTCACGATCTCGCGGTCCGTGAGTTCGAGCCCCGCGTCGGGCTCTGGGCTGATGGCTCAGAGCCTGGAGCCTGTTTCCGATTCTGTGTCTCCCTCTCTCTCTGCCCCTCCCCTGTTCATGCTCTGTCTCTCTCTGTCCCCAAAATAAATAAACGTTGAAAAAAAAAATTAAAAAAAAAACAAAAACATTCCTGAATTTCTGCCATGTGGTCCCACCCTTCAGAGCTTCATCTCAAAGGCCACTTCTTCCAAGGAGCTGTCCCTGATTCTCCCAGGTGAGTTTGAACTCTCCTTTTCTGCAGCCTCAGCACTACTTGGATGGAATTGTCCACTTTAGTCGTATTTGTATACCTCTCCAATCCTGCTCTCTGCCCACCTCTCTCACATATGCAATGGCCTGGGAGCTCCTTTAAAGGTAAGCGTGGTCCATCACTATTCTCAACTTCATTCGTTTTTGAAAAACTGATCCATTTAGCGAACTGAGTAGCTACTACGTGCTAGGTACTGCATGTACAGGACCTCTCTGCTCTGGGCTCTTCCTCTGGGTGACTGGCATACAGTGGGACAAGGGCACTGATGGAGGGATGCTCAGGGCACATTCAGGGATAACTTTGCCCTGGGCAAGCATTTCCTCAGGCTCCTGAATACCAGGCCCTGGCCCCGGGCACGATGGGGGAATGCAAGCAGGAGTAAGACCAAGCCCTGCCCTCCAGGATTGTAGATCCATAGAAACAATATGATATGTGCCCAAATATGGCTCTGACCAAAGTGCTATGAAATCATAGGAGACGGAATAATGACTTTGGCCCTGGGGAAATCTAGAAGTTTCTCGAATGCCTAGTACTTGCACCAAGTAGGAGCTTCTTAAATCTGCTGAATTTAACTGGGTGGGAGAAGGGGCTATAGCGGAGACTGAAGAAGACAAGGAAAGTTACAAGGAGGGAAGGGCAATGACAGAGCATTTTCATAACACTTGCAGAAAGTGGCCTTGCCGCCCACCCCAGAGGGATGTCTTGTGGATGAATGAGATCATGAGTGTGCAGTGTTCTGAACTCTTGGGAAGAAAGGATCTCTCTCTCTATGTATATATATATCACTGACATTATTAGTCTATTCCTGTCCGACCAGTAAGTCGTTCTTTCCAGGGAGCCTGTATCCCCCTGGGAAAATCAGGTGTACCCTAGGACAGCTTGATTCTCTCTTTGGGTCTCAGTTTCCCCATGGAACGAGGTGGTCCTGAATGTCTCTGGCTCCTCCAGGGAGCTGCTCTGTGGGACACCTGTGCCTGCTCAGGAGATGCCCTCTGTCTTACCCTGCCCAGCACACCCTGGGCTGAGCACAGGAATCCGTATGATGTCACAAAGGCCGCTCCCAGTCTTGTCCTGCGAGTTAAACAAGGGCATGCAGAAAATGAGACAAGTGTGGACTTTTCGCCCTGAATGTCCCCCCTGTCAATCTTGGGGTAGAGGCTGCGGGCCTGCATGCTGTGTGGGCCCCTCCCCTCCATCCAGGTCCAGGGTCTGGGTTCCCCTGGGCAGGACCGAGCCTTCTCCAAAGCCTCACGGGCTTCTCCCTTTATGGCCAGAGTGTTGGGGTACAAAATGCCCCCCATGAACAGGGATGGGGACTGTCGTAGGGGAGACAGAAACATCTACCAAAAACCTCCTTTACCCCCTTGCCTGTGTGCTTCCTGCTCATTCACTGTGCTTGGCTACTATATGTGTCTCTACCCCTTCCTATAAATCAGACACCCTGGCCGTGTCCCTGCCTCCCCTCTTCTCCTTACCTGGCACACGTAACTGGTGACCAGGCCTGGCCTTCCCCCTCCCCGGCTATCTCTCCAGTCCTTCTCAACACCCCTGCCCTCACCCACGTCCTCTTGTGTCTCACCAGCTTCCTCCCTGGGTCCCCTCCTCTGCCTCCTGCTGGCTCCCCTCCCATCCACTGTCCTGTGCGCCAAAGCGCAGGTGCAAGCAGGTACGACCATGTCGACGTCCAGCTCGAAGCCCAAAGCGGTGGGTCCCCACCGCTCTTGGGGAAAAGTTCCTCTCCTGTCTGGCAGGCAGGGCCATCTTGACCTCCCCAGAGAGGTGAAGTGATCTGTGAGGAAGAGCTAGGGAAAGGATGGTGTTGGGGACACATTTCAGAGAGAGGGATGGGCGAGTGCAGAGGTGGGAGAGGTAATGATGCCCGGTGTGGGAAAAGTCTGAAACCTGACTGGGGCGGGTGTTCCCGGGGCATCAGACACACCTACTGTGTGCCAGGCGCTGCCCTCATGCTGGGCCTACAGCAGTGACCAAAACAAAGATCTCGTCGGGGAGCTGGTGTCTAGCAGGGGGAGAGAGGCAATGGTAAGTAAATGTCATACGACGTTAGGAAATGATGAGTGTGGTAGGGAAAACCGAGGGTGGGGAGAAGTGAGGGTTATCAGCAATGCTGGGGATGGATTGAGGAGGTGACGTGTGGGCAAAGACTTGAGGGAAATGAGAGATTTAGTCTTGTGGCTACACGGGAAGCAGTATAGGAATAGGAAGCAGTCAGTGCAAAGGCCCTGGGGTACAGCTGTGCTTAGAGGATTTGAAGCACAGCCAGGAGGCTTGTGGGGCTGGAGCAGAGTGAATGAGGCAGTAAGGAATTGGAGAGGAGGTCCGGAGAGAAAGGGGGAGTGGGGACAGCAGGTCACCGCAGGAACTGTGGAAGACGGGAAGCTTCTGGAATATCTTGCGAGGTGGAGGGACGTGAGCTGACTCCTACTCTCAAAGGATCACGCCGGCCGTGTGTTGAGGGAGCAGGCGCAGGGAGACCAGTCAGGAGGCTGTCGCAATGATCCACGTGAGAATCAATGGCAACTCAGACCAAGGTAGATGCCGTGGGGGTGGTGGGTTCTGGATCTATTTTGAAGGCAGGACCGACAGGATTTCCTGATGGATTGGGTGTGGGTCATGAGAAAAAGGGAGGAGGCAACCTCACCCCCAAGGTTTGGGCCCGAGCAATGGAAGGATAGGATTGCCATCACCCGGAATGGGCAGCCGGCATCAGAGCAACACTCTTTCTGTCTTCTTTCCATTATTGCCCACCCAGAGAGAACCTTTTTAGACATTTTTCCAATGGTCATCGCCTCTGTAATTCTCACACCGGAATTCAAGTGATAGCATGATGCTATAATGCATATGCGTTTATGGGCTTTGGCCCTTTGGAGGGTCACAGACCGTTGCAGCATCGAAACGTTTTTGTTCCCCGAGAACTAATTTTCACCCCCTCGGGGGCGATGGCGGCCCCGCAGAGGGTGCGTGGTTCCAGCCAGCGGCCTGCAGGAGAGGAGCTCAGGTTGGAGCTGTCTGCTCCAAGGAGGAGGCGTCGAAGCCACAGTTGGGTGTTCGAGGCCCAGGCTGCAGGTATGGGTTTGGCCGTCATGGGCATACAGCCTCTGCTTGAAGCAGTGAGCCCAGAGATGGCCGGTAGTGAGTCCAAGACAGAGACGAGGACCAGGCTGGGGGCTGGGAGAAGAGAAGGAGCCAGCAGAGGAGACCACGAAGGAAGGCGCGGAGAGGTTGGAGAGGACCAAGTAAGCACTGCCAGAGGCCTGGGAGCCAAGGGGAAAGAGTCGTTTACGGGGGAGGGGGTGCCAAACTGTGTCAAACGCGGTGGAGAGGCCACTGGAGATCTTGATGGAGTGTGGGAGGAGGGGGTGAAAGCCGGATTGGAGTGGTTTCAGCGGAACAGGAGGAGGGGAGCAGTGACAGCTCTGAGGAGCATCCCTGCAGAGGAGGACAGGGACTGGGTGGGAGCTGCTGGGGAGGTGGGATCACGACAGGTTTGAGTGAACCGGGGAGGGAGAGCGGTGAGCTGGTTCTCTGGTGGGAACGCTGGGCTGGAGGGTAGAACTGAAGCAGTGGAGGCCGAGGGAGCTCGGGGAGACCTGCTGGAGGGGTGTCCTTGAGCGGAGCAGAGGGCTGGGCTCGGGCGCCCGTGCCCGGCGCCCGGTGGAGGTGGCGGCGTGGGTGAGCACGGCTCTTAGGGCCGGGGAGGCAGAGCGCGTGGGCGCAGATGCTGGTGGGGGTGGACGTGCCCGCGGATCCAGAAGCGCTTCTGCGAGACTGGATTGCGTTCAGAGGGTAGGAAACAAGGTCAACGCTGAGAGCGAGGGTGGGGGAGGCGGGGGTGTGGCGAGATCGTGAGAAATAGTCACCCACGAGAGCAGGGTGGTGGGCGTGAAGGGGTCTCCAGCAGAACGCCTTCCTGCCCCAGCCCAGGACTGGGTCAGCCGCCTAACTTCTGCACTTCCAGGGCTCCCCCACCCCGCCGGGTTCTGGGTGTCCACCACTCTGTTTGCCCCGAGAGAGGACCTCTTCTTTCCCTCAGCATTTCCATTCCCAGGCAGGCAGCCAGTGTTTGAATTCTCCACGGCTCACCTGCTGGGTAACCTTGGGTGAGTGTTTTAGTGTCCCCGTGCCTCAGTTTCCACATCTGCGAAATGGGGACAATGGTAGGAGCGTGGCCTCCGTGCTGTTGCTCTCTTGCACCTGTTGCCTGGCACGGATGAGGGCTCGGGAAGTGAAGAGTGAAGGCGAGGATGAAGGGAAGGGAGTTTGCTCCCGGGCCCTGCACACCGAGGAGTGGGGTGAAGAGGGCTAACATCAGATCTGCGTCCTGGCTGACGGAAGACTCTGTCTCCCCAGCGCCAGTGCTCAGCTCCCACCATGTAGCTGGGGACCCTGACATAGCTCTCGGGGGGGCGGTGGCCAACTGGGGACAGACCCACCAGTGCGGCCCAGGACAGTCCCTAACTCAGCCCAGGGCCAGGACTGGTGCAGGGAGGAAGGGAGGGAAGGGCTGGAGTTGGCATCTGTTACCCCGGCCCCACCCTCGGGACTTCCTCCCCAGCCTGGCCCTTCCTGTTTTCCTCCCTGGACCCTGGAGGCCATTTCCTCCAAGGAATTAGGGCAGGATGTTGCTTTCTCTTTCCGGAGCCCAGAGCTTTCTGCACTCGCAAACTTCCAGATCTGGGCCATTGGGACCCCCGAGAAAACAGTCTGCTGGCTAGCCCCTTCCCTGAAGCTGTGACTCCAGGGGCTCTGCTGGGGACCTTCAGTGTGAGGGTGTGTGTGTGTGTGTGTGTGTGTGTTTGTGTATGTAAGGGTAGGAGGATCCACGGGGGGCAAATGTTGCCTTGTATTCCTCCAGTGGGCTGGCAACACACCATGGAAAGACCGTGGGCTGGGAGCTGGCACCCCTAGGAGGGGGCACACAGCCCTGGCATGGGCACCAGCTCTGCCATGACCAGCTGGGGCCTCTTGTTCCTGGAACCTCACTCATCCCCCACCCTCTGCAACCTGGAGGTAGCAATAAAGACTCCCTTATATGGGGCCTGCCAGGAGCAAGCGCTAATGGCCAGAGTGGGCTCTGTGGATTGTTACGAGATCTACAGTGTTCCTTGCGGTACCCACATGCCTGGCAGAAGGAGTGGGGAGGGAGCTGTTAAGTGCCAGGTGGCATTCAGGCTGGAGTGGGGGTGGGGGCTGATGAAGGGCGCAGCGAGGCCCTAACCCTGCCCTTCAGCCTCTCAATGAGCTAGCCAGCACCTGCCATCAGCTGGGTTCTCAGGCCTGGCTGCCCTGATCACTCCTGTGCCCTGCAAGCAGGCAGCCTGAGAGAGCCCTGCCTCCAGGAGCCTCACAGAAGCTGGCTGTTGCCCCCTTCCCGTGCCTCATAACCTGCCCTGCCCCTCAGCTCCTCCCTCCGGCTACCCCGGAAGGGAAAGGTCAGTGTTGCCAGGCAGGGTCCGGGAGCAGTTCCTGGAGCTGCGGGACTTCGGTCACCACTGAGCAATGCCCTCCCAGTACTGCCAGGAGAAACCAAACAGAAAGGGCTTGGGACGTGCCTAAGGATGCACAGCCATTCTTTCTGGGACAATAGCTGCCTCCCTCCACGACAGCTAGACAACCCCCCCCACCCCCGGGCTGCCCCTCAGGGGACTATGGAATTAAAGAAGTCACCCCTTTCTTCTCCTACCAGGGACGCCGAGCCAGAACTAGTATGGCACAGAGTGACGACGAACATTTCCTTTTGGTGAGCGCCTGCTGTGTGTCAGGCGGTGTTCTGGGGGCTAGGAGCACAGTGCTCAATGAGGCCAAGTCTACCCTCGTGGGGCTCGTGGTACTGCATTCGATCCTTTTATCACCCCACGTGGTCAGTATTTGCAGGTGGAGAAACTGAGGCTCAGAGAGACTAGGGAGTGAAGTGAGGTCCTATGGTCAGTGAGTGTCAGAGCAGCGATCCGAGCCCAGATCTGTCAGACTCCATCCACAGCCCGATCTCTTCACCCTGTTAAACCAGGAAGAGACTGGACGGGAGTCAGAAGGTGGGCATTAGCCACTCCCTGGGGTCTGGGCTTTAGGACAGTTTTCCCTTCATTGGGCCTCAGTTCCCTCATCCATAGGTGATCCGCAAAGTTCATTCCAGTATTTCTGCAATTTTCAAATGTCAAAAGACCTAGCAGTCTGTCCGCCCAGACGATCCAGGCAGGGATTCCTTTTCTTCCCATCGCCGCACCCTGGTTGGTAGGACAGGAGCCCAGCTCATCCATGAACAAACCTTTGCGGCATAAGGGAGAAATACAAGCCTTGATCAGGCTTGGACCCTGACCTCGGCTTTGCCACGGTCCTCGAGGTGACCCTGTTTTCCATCCCCATCGCCTTGACTCTGCCTCTTCTAACTTGTGTTCCCTTGGGGAAGCCCAAGCCCCTCTCTGGGCCTCAGTTTTCACGTTTATTGGAGGAAACCATTTCTGATGTGCCCCTGACTCTGCCCATCCGATTCTAAAAGCTTGTTGAGCCCTTCATGGGGGCCCAGCCCTTTCTGGGAACGGAGACAGGCTCAGCCTGTCTGCTGGCCGTGAACTCTGCGCCTGCCCCACGCTCTCCCCATAAACCAGAAAGGGAAGAATGACCTGTCTCAAACTGGTCCTAGGGCTCCCCTGTCACCCCCCCCCGTCCCCCTTGTCCCCACACCTAGGCCCTGAGTCCCCAGCCCCACCACGAGGGATGTCTCCTCCACCTCCTCCTCCCAGCTAGTCCTGAGGTGGAGAAGACACGAGGCGGGCAGCCAGAAGATCACGACAGGTAGGGCTGGATGGTGGCGAGGGCTCCACAGAGACCACGCTCAGCAGAATGGCATGTCTCATCGTGGGCACGCCTGCCAGGTGGTGGGAGGACCATTTCTTTTCTTTTTTTATCCCCATCCAAAGTGGCTGGGAGGGAGGGGGGCCCAGGAGGAGAGACTCCTGAGATGAGACACAAGGATCTATGACTTAGGCTCAGACCGGGGCGGGGCACCAGCACCCAGGGCACCTCCCATCCCCCCTGCAGACCCAGGCCCTAGTCCTTTCCTTCAGGCCTCTCATAATATTAACCTTGTTGGCTTGAGTGCCCCACCCCATTTAACAGATGAGGCAGCTGAGGCTCAAAATGGAGAAATGACTGGCAGATAGGGGAGCATGGGGTCAGGCCTCCTGGGAGTCCTCTGTCCTCTTCAGGCATGGATAAGTGTTTGGAAAGCTCACCCATCGGAAGGAAATGATCTCCCCTCCTTTTAGTAGAGGGATGGGAAAGAGGAGGCAGTAGGGAAGAGCAAAGAGGCTAGCCCAACTATGGAGAGTTCCCAGAATTCACTGTGCTTCCTCTGCACTCCAGACCTCTGCCTGGGCTGCTCCCGTTTCCTAGAACTCTTACCTCCACCTGACTACATCCTACTGACCCTTCAAGTCATGGTCAGACGTTGCCTCCTCCAGGAAGCCCTCCTGGCTTTTCCACTGGACAGGGAAGCCAGGTCACGATGTTACGGAGAGCCACTTCCGGGTGAGACCAGAAGGGGCAAGCATCGTGCTCAAGGTAACACAGCCAAGCGGCGGCTCCTCACCAGGGCTCTGTGCCATCCGTTGCCCCGCTCCCCCCACCTGGCAGCCTCCCGGCTCTGGCCAAATAACCCGCCCCAGGCCCCGGGGACGCAGCGCCAGAGGGAGGTAACAATAAAAGCTTATCAAACAGCATGTAGGAGGCAGCCACAGATTTCAGAGGCTAAGTAATCTGTGTCTAATGTTCACTTAGCAGAGCGTGAGCCTCTGACATGTCAGCGCTCGCGGTCTGACCCTGCAGTGGCCGGAGCTTTTGAAGCTGAGGGAAACGGAGTCATCCTGCGTTCCTAGAGCTTTCTACCCGGGCTGCGGTGCAGGTGGGGGAGTTTTCAGGTGCCAGACCATCCTGGTGGCCCCAGCTGGCTGTACCCAGGGAAGTGAAGCATCTTTCTCGGTCCTGGAGAGGCTGTTACAGATGGGGAGACAGAGGAGGCTGGCCGCGGGAACCCACCGCTGAGTGATTTCAGAGCCTGGTTTTTACCTGTGAGCCTCTGCTGCTGCCTAGTGCCCTGGTGCCCCTCTCCCAAGGGGCATAGAAGAGGGGTCCTGCACTCTTCCAGCATCCCCCTCCCCCCATGACCATGGAAAGGATGCCCCGCATGGGCCACCTTGGGCCCAGCCTCACCTCTGAGCCCACATGCAGGAGGCCTGCCTCTGTCATCTCCCTGTTCTATCTCAGATCCTCAGCCCTCCTGGACCTCAGTTTCCCCATCTGTCAAGGAGCTGGAAAGCTCTCCAAGATTCCATGGTTCTACAGCATCTTACGAATGATGAATAAGGCAGTTGCTTCACAGCCTCCCCGCTCTGCTCTGCTTTTCCTGTTTTCCACAGCTCGGGGTCTTTGTTTTGTTCCGGGAGTGAGGTCTGCCGGCAGCCGGAGTAGTGCCTGTGGTATAGTAGGTGCTCAGTAAATATCGGTGGCCTTTACGCTCCCAGCGGGTACCGCGCTGCAGGTCCCCTCCCGATTAATACCTGCCCCTCCACCCCCCATGTGTCTCCTGGGGGCTGCGCCGCAGACCGATAGGCACGTGTTGATATGCAAATCTGGAAGCCTCCCTGTTTCTCTTCCACCTTCTCCTTTCCATAGTGGGTGCGTGGGAGCTAGCCATGTTCTTCTTTTAGATCCCCCCCGGCGCGGCTAGGACTAGTGCCAGGGCCTTGGTGGTACAGCCAGTGCTCTCAGCTGTTTACACTCTGCCCGTGACTCACCCACAACAGCCCAGAGAAGGCTCTGCCCAGGCTGGGCCCAGGCGTGGGGAGGCAAGAGAGACCGTGGTCTGAAAAGGCCACCGGGATCCTGGAATGAGGACGGAGGGCCGAGAGGCCGCCCAGAATCGTCCTGGCCCCCCGGGGGAGCAGGCACGGGGGCCAAAGACAGCTGGGCCAGGTTTGAGAAGATCTGTTACGGCTCACGCCCGCCAACCCTTTATCCAGGCCTCGTCTGGGCGCCCTGGGCTGGGAGCTGAGAGACCTGAGATACATCAGCCCTGGTCTCCACCTTCAGCACCTAGGAGGTGGATCTAGAAGGCAGTGGGTATTATGGGTGGTGATGGAGACAGCCACGGGATGACGTGGCGGTGGGGGGCGGGGCAGATTGAGGTTGTCATTCATTCAGTGGGCTGAGACTTTACTGAGGAAGGGCTTTCCTGGCGAAGGCAACAGCACATGCCAAGACACAGAGACGGTGCTCCAACAGCAGGAAAAGGTCGCATGCCGGCCCCGCCCTCCTGCTCCGGGACCTCGGGCCTCGCCCACCCTTCTCAGACGGCTTCATCTGTGAGAGTGGAGGTGGCGTTGCTTGGGTGCGTGGTTAGGGATTGCCCTGTGAGTCTTCCGTGGGCCTCTCCAGCTCTGACAGCGATTCTGTGGGAGCAAGGGTTACGGACAGGGCGGGGCACCCGGGTGGCTCAGTCTGTTGAGCATCCGACTTCGGCTCAGGTCATGATCTCGCACTCATGAGTTCGAGTCCCGCATCTGGCTCTGCACTGACAGCTCAGAACCTGGGAGCCTGCTTCGGATTCTGTCTCCTTTGCTCTCCGCCCCTCCCCCACTCACACTCTGTCTCTCTCAAAATAAATAAGCATAATAGTTTAAAAAAAAAAAAAAAGAGTTACAGGCAGGGCAGGGCTCTGGGTGACAGTGAGGTCCTGGTGGCTGGGCAGGCAGGACAAACAGGGCTGTCTGTTTAAGCAAGGAGGGGAACCCGGAGGAGGACACTACCAGCCAATGAGACTGTCTCTCCTGGCCCAGTGTTTGCTGATGGAATAAGGGAGTCGGGCGTGCCAACAGTGGGGAAGGAGGTGGCCTTGAACTGCACACACATGGGCTTTCGCTCGAGCTGGTCCCCTAGAGCACCATGCCGGGCATGGGCTGGCAGAGCCCCTGGAGATCAACATACCCATTAACGGAGGTGCTCAGAGAATGCAGTCCAGGCTGGGGCTCTAGCCCTCTTCCCTAGGCTCTGGCTCAGCCTAAGGAAAGGGACGGTGGGGGGTGGGGGTGGGGGAGTGGCCATCCCTCTCTGAGAGGGGAGAGAGCCCCTGGAGCCAGCTCCTTGCTCCCTGGGGGCGGTCCTGCCCCATGGGTTTAGTCTTGACTCTGCCACGAACTTGATGGGTGACCGTGGATCGGCCTCTTCTCTCTCTCTCTCGACTTCAACCTTCCTCCGAAAGTGAGAGACAGGAAGAGAAGCACGTTGGCCGCTTCCCAACAGGACCCCCACCCTTGCTTCAGCCGGAGAGTTCCGCTTTGAGCAGTTGGCCTGACGAGTCCCTCATGCACCGAACGACTGCTGAGTGCCCACTCTGTGCCAGCTGGGTATAAAAGCAGGCGAGACCGCCGGGTCTTCCAGCCTCGATGAGTTCCCTCTTTAGAAGGGGAGCCCCTGATTCCCGGAGCCTGCGCTGGGGCCACGTGTGGCTCCGTGGCTCTGCGGGGAGGCTCCCCAGTCACCCAAACCGTGGTTCACCCTTGCTAGCCATGTGGTCTTACGTAACCTTTTGGGCCTTGGGTCCCTCACCCGTGGACCGGGGACGAGGAGAACCCCCCGACCTGTGAGACCGGCTGGCATGGAGCCTTCCGAGGGTGCATGGCGGGTGCTGCATAGGCCTTGCTGGCCTGAGGATCCCGGTTCTAGGAAGGGGCAGCCACAGAGACAAGAGTCCCGCGATTCAGGCCAGGGGAGGAGAGGGGGATGAAGAACCCCCAAATTGGCAGGAAGCCCGGGGTTGGGTAGAAGTGAAGAGAGCTGGAGGCAGGGTCTCTGTCCCTCATCTTTCATCACTGTACCCCGTCCACACCCCCGAGAAGTCAGCAGCTTAACTGTCCTCTGATGGATCCCCGCCCCCACCCCAACACACACACACACACGCCTTGTGAGAGAAAAATACCTTCCATGCTCTGTGTCTGGTTGGCTGGAGAAGCAGGGAGAGAGCCAATCATTCCAGCACGCAGATGGGAACACTGAGGTTCAAGTGTCAGAGAAACAAGTCAGTTAACATCCATCGGGGCCGAGGAGAGACCCCCGGCCTGGACCCCTGCCTCATTTGTGGGGAGCAGTGAGGCTCAGAGTGCCCTGACACTGGGCCAGGTGTATCTCAGCCCCACCCTGCCCTTCCAGGGGCCCCAGCCACCCTGGGCACACCCTCTGCGGTGCCTGCCTCCCCTGGGGGGGAGCAGACGGTGCCGGGCCTGCCGGGAAGCGGTCGTCCCGGAGGCCGGCTGTTGCACAGATGCGAGCTGGGGGTAGGGGCAGCGGAGTCGGGGTGAGAAAGGCAGCGACCCTTGGCAGCTCAGGTCTGAGTCACCGGCCGGCGGCCCAGGAGTGGTAATGAGCGGATTAGAGTCATTATAGCCGAATGATTGGGAGCGCATTTGTTCACCCGGGGCAACCGCCAGCCCCAGCAAGGGCTACTCAACGCATTGCTGCCCCGGCCCGCCTTGCCCGTCGCCGTGGCCCCAACCTGCCCCCTCCCTCCCCCCAACCTCAACTCCCAGGCAGCTTCTGCGGCCTCCACGTGCCTCATTAGAGCCTCCTAGACATGCCCGCCTCACACTCCCTAGACATCACCCCTCTCCCCCTTTTCTTGGGCTTGGCAGGGGGGGCCCTGGAGCCGGAACTTGGAGACCTGTTAAGGGGGCACAGTCATTCCTGCCCAGGGAAACTGGCATAAAACCCCCCTGTAATAACAAATAAGATACTGAGTCTTAGTGCTTAAGATGTGCTAACAGACATTGCTCTAAGTGCTGGCCATGTTTGGTTTTTTAAAGTTTATTGATTTTGAGAGAGAGAGAGAGAACGAGAGGGGGAGGGACAGAGGGGGGGACAGAGGATCTGAAGTGGGTTCTGTGCTGACAGCAGAGAGCCCGATGTGGGGCTCGAACTCATGAATCACGAGATCACGACCAGAGGCAAAGCTGGATGCTCAACCGACTGAGCCACCCAGGTGAGTGCTGGATGTGCCTTTTTTTTTAATGTTTTATTTATTTGAGAGAGAGAGAGAGAGAGAGAGAGCATGGGGGAGGGGCAGAGAGCGATGGAGACACAGAATCTGAAGCAGGCTCCAGGCCCCGAGCCGTCAGCACAGAGCCCGACTTGGGGCTCGAACTCCCGGACAATGAGATCATGACCTGAGCCGAAGTCGGAGGCTCAACCGAATGAGCCACCCAGGCGCCCCAAGACATGTCTTAATTCACTTTGTTTCATGACAGCCCTGTGAGGTACGCTATTGTCATCCCCATTTCTAGATGAGATGACTTAGGCCCAGGGGGATTAAGTAACAGGCTCAAGGTCACACAGCTTGTGAGCAGAGCAGCTGGGCTTCCGTCCCACCTCCTTACTCCAGAGCCCTCCCAACCACCAAGTTCTGCCTGTCACTGCCCCTTCCCCGGGGGCCTCTCTGCCTGGGTGGGTGCCCCACTGCCACCCCATTCGTCTCCTTTAGGAGTCATCCTCTGGGAAGACGCTTCTCATCATGCCTGTCCCCCAGTGAGAAACCTCCCATGGGGCCCCAGTGCTCACCCAATAAGCTTCCACCATGGTATTTGAACCCCATCCTTCCTGACTTAGCCTTCCAGAACCCTTCATTCCTCATGCTCACCTCGGCCCCCACGCGGTGGAGCCTCAGCTCACATCTCATTTCAGAACGGTCCCACCTGGGGCTTTTGTGGGGGCTGTGCCCTCTTCCGGGAATGCTCGTTCCTGTGGGGTCTCCTGCCTCCAATGCCACCTGGCCTGTGTGCCCGAGCTGAGCGGGACACACGGCACCCTCAGTGGCACGGCGGGAGGGGGCAGCGGGGGC